TTTTAGCTCACCTGAGCTGAAGGCTCAAGTGAGCTTTTCTGATCATATTTTGTCCGGCGTCCGTCTGTCTGTCTAGCTGTCTGTAAACTTTTCACATTTTCGACTTCTTCTCAAGAACCACTGGGCCATTTCAACCAAACTTGCCACAAAGCATCCTTGGGTGAAGGGGATTCAAGTTTTTTCAAATGAAGGGCCATGCCCTCATTCAAGGGGAGATAATTGGGAATTAATGAAAATTTGGTGGCATGTTTTAAAAATCTTCTTCTCAAGAACCACTATGCCAGGAAAGATGAAACTTATGGGTTAACATCCTCAGGTAGTGAATATTCAAATGTGTTCAAATCATGACCCCCGGGGGTAGGGCAGGGCCAAAATGGCCGACTAAAGTTTTATATAGAAATATATTGGAAAATTCTTTAAAAATCTTCTTCTCAAGAACCACTGTGCCAGGAAAGATGAAACTTATGGAGTAACATCCTCAGATAGTGTAGATTCAAGTTTGTTCAAATCATGACCCCCGGGGGTAGGGCAGGGCCAAAATGGCTGATCAAAGTTTTACATAGAAATATATAGGAAAATTCTTTAAAAATCTTCTTCTCAAGAATGACAAAGCCATAATTCATCAAATTTATATGGAAGCATCCTCAGGTAGTGAAGATTCAAGTTTGTTCAAATCATGACCCTGGGGGTAGGGCGGGGCCAAAAAGGCCGACCAAAGTTTTACATAGAAATTTATGGGAAAATTCTTTAAAAATCTTCTTCTCAAGAATGACAAATCCATAATTCATCATATTTATATGGAAGCATCTTCAGGTAGTGTAGATTCAAAAATTTGTACAAATCATGACCCCAGGGGGTAGGGCGGGGCCAAAATGGCCGACCAAAGTTTTACATAGAAATATATGGAAAATTCTTTGAAGAAAAGCAAATCCATGATTGATCATGGGATTACTTTTGGATTTTAACTTTTCAATTATAAACCAATTTCTACTTTTTCTTAGCTTCAGTACTCAGGTGAGCGATGTGGCCCATGGGCCTCTTGTTTAATGTACCATTAGTAATACACATCTGGCGGGACATTCATGTCCTATAGACATATTTCTAGTTTTTCAAATCATCACCTCAGGCTAGGGTCAGGCCACAATTAGGGATCAAAGTTTTATTTAGGAATAAAAGGAAACACATCTTTAAAGTTCTTCTTTTCAGGAACACCAAGAGCATGATTAATATGGAAATATTCTCAAGAGGTGTAGATTCAAGTTTGTACAAATCATGACCACCAGGGTTAGGGAGGTGCCATATTATTCCAGCCCCTTTTTGCCATCCATATGAAAATTCAAATTTTGAAACCATTTTACACATACACAAAACAAACCAATCATTTTCTAAATGATCATGGTTTAAAGCTATTGCAGCATAAGATATTAGGGAAGTTCTTGAAAGCAGGGTGATTAAACATGTCAAATATATGTAAAAAAAAAATATATATAAAAATTCTACCTCGATTTGATCCCCATCCCCCCCACCCCCCGGGCAAAATGAAAATTCCGAAACCGTCCTGCACATCGACATGACACCACCAACCATCTCTTAAAATATGATAAGGCTGCTGAGTAAAATGTAGAAGGAGTTCAGGGAAGAAGGGGCTTTTTGTATAAAAAAACGTCATTTTTTCGCGTCCCCCGGGGCAAAATCAAAATTTTACTGCACATCTACATGATCTCTCAAAAGATCCCCTTTTTGGGGCAAAATCAAAATTCCGAAACCTTACTGCACATCTACATGACACCACCAACCATCTCTCAAAAGATGATTAGGCTGCTGAGTAAAATGTAGAAGGATTCAGGGAAGAAGGGGCTTTTTGTATAAAAAACATCATTTTTCGACCCCCATTTGATCCCCTGGGGCAAAATCAAAATTCCGAAACCTTACTGCACATCTACATGACACCACCAACCATCTCTCAAAAGATGATTAGGCTGCTGAGTAAAATGTAGAAGGAGTTCAGGGAAGAAGGGGCTTTTTGTATAAAAAACATCATTTTTCGACCCCCATTTGATCCCCTGGGGCAAAATCAAAATTCCGAAACCTTACTGCACATCTACATGACACCACCAACCATCTCTCAAAAGATGATTAGGCTGCTGAGTAAAATGTAGAAGGAGTTCAGGGAAGAAGGGGCTTTTTGTATAAAAAACGTCATTTTTCGACCCCCATTTGATCCCCCGGGGCAAAATCAAAATTCCGAAACCTTACTGCACATCTACATGACACCACCAACCATCTCTCAAAAGATGATTAGGCTGCTGAGTAAAATGTAGAAGGAGTTCAGGGAAGAAGGGGCTTTTTGTATAAAAAACGTCATTTTTCGACCCCCATTTGATCCCCCGGGGCAAAATCAAAATTCCGAAACCTTACTGCACATCTACATGACACACCCAACCATCTCCCAAAGGATGATTAAGCTACTGTGAAAAATGTAGGAGGAGTTCAGGGAAGAAAAGTGTGACAGACGGACGGACGGACGGACGGACGGACATGAGTAACAACAATATACCCGAACTTTCTTTCGAAAGTGCGGGTATGGCTTAAAAAAAGATGCAAAAAGTCGTCAGCTAATTTTTGATACACCTACAAAAATTTGCTTCATAAGATACCTGTAATCATGAAGTGTGCACGAGATTCAAGATCAATCATTTCGAAGATCCTACTTTTGCCTAATATTCGACCGAGGACACGTGGTACAACATTTATTTGTGCTATACAATACTGTATTAAAAAGAATAAATAGATATCACCATTTGCAACAGATTTTAAAAAAATAAAGATATGCAGGACATAGAAATATTTATAGAGCCAAGAATTCTTTGTAATTTTCTTTTGCAAATTTAAAGAATGACTTTTAATTACATATTTTTTTCCATCAATTTTGCTATCAACCTTGTGGGTACTATGGCTAAATACCTGATTAAATCTTAAAATAATTATGGATCAAAGTATTAACTCGAGCTTGTTTACATCTTTTTCTGGACTCTCTCAAACATTTAGTGAAGCTGGAATTATTACACCTAATGGAGTGAGTATACCAAGTTTTTTGAATGTGACTTTTAACAAATACAGCATAACTGTATCATTTCAACAAGAAAAATATGCCACTATTTTGAACTATTTGGAAGAAGAACTTAATGCAATTAAAGAAGTAGGGAAGAGTGGTCAGATTTTTTCAAGTCTGTGTGTAACACTGTGACAGCAACACTCTATTCTGGCACCAGCGTCCTGCACATTCAAGGATCGTCGGCAAAGTCGTGGCTGGACAAATTTCTTCATGACATCAAAAACTATAACAGCATTAGTAGTATGTTGGGACAATATTATTCCCCAAATGTCATCAACGCCTGTGAAAAATGATTCTAGATCTCTTCTGACAGCCAGTACTGACAATTTTCAAAATTGTACACAGTGTGCAGGTACAATACAAGCCCTACAATCGGCTGTCCGTGAGTTAGCACATGAAATAAAGGAATTAAAAGAGAAACTCAGATGCAAAAAACAACCCCACTTTGTTGGACAAAAACACACAGACACTTTTTAAGGTAGTGAAAAACAAGGAAACTGATGTGCAGGCTTTGAACTCTTTACCACAAAATTCTGCATCTCGACACACACAGTGTGATTTTACGGCCAAGGAAGCAATATATACATCAGATTTGGGTACAAACACGGAACCATGTATCAACCCCACACCTGCAAGTACACCTGCAAGATCCTTTAAACAAAAGAAAACTTCTGGTGAGGCCAAACTTATTATAGGCAGCTCTTTCTTACAAAGGGTGAGAACAAGGGGACTACAACAAGGTGTCCATGTGAGAACCAACAGAGGGGCCAAGCTTTCCGGAATGAAGTCAAAATTACATCAAACCGCTGTTGAAGATTACTCTCACATAATTGTCCACGCCGGGGAAAAATGATGCCTCATCTCCTAGACATATATAGATGCTGTTGAACATGACGCCGTAGAAATCATCAAAAACATCAAGGATCGGTCGCCAACTACCAAAGTCTATTTCTCAGAAGTTTTACCGAGACGGGACATAGATGTTTCATATGTGAATAACACGCTAAAATACGTTTGTGACGAGTATGGAGGTTTGTTCATTTCCAATAAGAGTGTATTCAAAGAGGTCAACAATGCAATATTGGAAAGATGGGATACACCTTTCCATTAAGGGAACTTCAGCACCGCTTAAACAGATCAACAACGAAGTTCCGATTTTACGTGGCGAGGGAGCACAAAGGGACAACGGAAATTCCATCTTTAGCCAGTCTGTAACGTGTTACTTCTGTGGTGAACATGGACATACCTCATCCCACTGCAGGCACGGCCGAAAACTAGATTGCTGGAACTGCGGAGAAACTAGGCCACAAGACCAAATTCTGTGTGTATTAGGTATTAGGCAAGGAATGTAGAGCCGTTCACGACAATATAAATCTACACTAAATTCAAATAGATATTCTATTCTAGGCACTGTATGTACTGAATGTAACGATTTTCAATGTTCTTGTTTAAATCAAACTAACAACTTTGTTTATAATACCTCTGTTAAATCTTAATTGCCTAGAAAACCATATATTAAGAATAAGACTCTCTTGGACAAAGTAAGAACTTCTCTCAATGATGAAAGCTCAATTATAGAATCTACTAACATTACTCCTCTTATGATAAACTCATTCAAATCTGTTTCACAAACAAAAAATCAAGTTCTTAAAACCAATAACGAAATTCATACTTCACAAATGCCAAAAGATTCAGGATTTGGATTGATTAAGAAAGGTTTACGTTTCGGAAATTTAAATATTTGTCATATTATTCCTAAAATGGATGAAATTGAACTGTTGCTTCAAAATCGGCAATCTTTAGATATATTAGGATTTTGTGAAACTTTTTTTAGTGAGCAAGTAGGAAATTCAGAACTGTTTATTGATGGGTTTGTTTTTGAAAGAAAGGATCTACATTAAAGGCAGGTGGTGGAATTCTTATTTATATTGCTAGTGATATAACATATAAACGTAGAACTGATTTTGAGATCAGTAATATTGAGACAATCTGGCTAGAGATAAATCTGAAAAATTCAAAACCTATATTTCATTGCTCTGCTTATCGTTCACCATCTGCCCCCTCCTGCTGGGCGGAGGATCTAGCAAGGGAGGTGAACCGTGCCTCCTGCTGTGACGATACTGATATAATTTTATCAGGTGATTTCATTATTGATCTAATGAAAGACCACCCACAATACTGGACATCTGCTTTAGAGAAGTTTGGACTTTCACAAATAGTTACTGTTCCTACTAGAATAACAAGTACATCAAGTACCTTAATTGATCATTTTTATACAACGAAACCAGAAAACATATCGAAACAAATGTGCCCCCTATTGCTATATCTAACCACTACCCCGTATGTTTGACACGGAAAACTAACTGTATACAGCGTAGAGGAAAACATACCGAAATCCAATATCGTGATTTTAAACAATTCAATGAAAATAAGTTTCTAAGAGATTTAGAAAATGCTAATTTTAACTCTCTTCTCGAACTAAAAGACACAAACGAGATCATGAATAAATTTTATGAATTATTTAATGATATTCTTAACAAGTATGCCAAAGTAAAAACTAAAAGAGTAAGACTGAAATTCGACCTAAATGGCTTACACAGGAAATAAATGATGCTGAAAAATTACGTGATACATACCATCTACAAAGAAATTACGAAAATTACCAAAAGAAATGTAAATGGAGAAATAAAGTCACACAATTAATAGATCAAGCCAAATCAAAGTATTACAAATCAGCAATTGAATAAAGTTCAAGTCCTAAAGAGATGTGAAGTTTTTAAACCATTTGGCATCTGAGTCAAAAAATTTCACACCTACCCGTATAACACAAAATGGTTCGGATTTCGAAGATTTACAGGATATTGTTGATATTTTTAACAAACACTTTACTGAAATATCATGTAAGTTATTAGCAGATATGTCAGTACAAAGTTTTGATTCAGAATTATTAAATAAATATACAGAAACTAAACTAGGGAAAGAAAATTTTTTGAGTATAAATCATATAAGTGAGTTGGAGTATTTAAAATATGTTGAATACACTTGATGTAAACAAGTCAGCAGGTATAGACTTGATTGGACCTCGTCTTCTAAAGCTTTCGGCAAATGTTATATGCAAATCTATTACACATATTATAAATACTAGCATCACTAATGGAGTATTTCCATCCCGTTTAAAACAAGGAATGTTATCTCAATTTTCAAAAATGTCGACCATGCAGATCCAGGGAACTACAGACCAATATCCATTCTTCCAACATTATCAAAAATTAGTTGAAAAACACATAGCCAATCAGATACGTAACTTTACCTGTAGTTTTGATCTCTTACTTAAATCAAAATCTGGATTTCGATAATTTCAATCATGTCAAACGACTCTAACAAAACTTACAGATAATTGGCTTCAAGCTATAGACCAAGGAAATTTAGTAGGCATAACTTTCATCGATTTTAGCAAGGCATTTGATTTGGTTAATCATGATATCCTTATAAATAAACTTCAATCATATCACTTTGATCAAATGGCTATAAAATGGTTTCAATCTTATTTAACGTCAAGGTCTCAGTGTGTAAAAATAGGTACATACTCCTCTGATTTTCTGCCCGTCACAGCAGGAGTGCCCCAAGTATCTATCTTAGGTCCCCTATTATTTTTATTGTATATAAATGATCTCCCTTTACATGTAAATAGAACAGATATTGATATGTTTGCTGATGATGCAACCTCACATACATATCATAAAAATATAGAAGGTATTGAAATTGCCTTAAACTTTGATTTGTGTGAGATAGAAAATTGGTGTTCCAAAAATCAAATGGTGTTAAATTAACAGACAAAATGTATGCTCATGGGAACTCAACAAAGAAAATCAAGAATAAATTCTACTGAACTAAATTTATATGCTTCTAACAAATTAATTGGAAAATGTTGAATCTGAAAAGCTTTGGGACATCTGACCATTCATTGCGCTATGATTTATCATATTGACTGAGTTTGTAAATCTTGACTTATAAATTGTATACTTTACGCAGAATTAAAAAATTTTTTCCCTTACACACGAGAAACTATTTTATAATGCATACATTCTGCCTTCTTTGAATTATTGTCTTACTATATGGGGTAATGCGCCAGATGGCATAGATAGAGTTTTTAAATTGCAAAAAAGGGCAGCCCGGATTATTTTAGATGTGGCTTTTGATGCCCCTTCACTATCATTATTTGAAAAACTTGGATGGCTAACCATATAAGAGTTAAATGATTTTCATAAATATATATTACTATACAAAACACTTCATGGTATGGCACCAACTTATTTAAGAGATTCCTTTGAATTTATTTCTTCTAATAGTTATGTTCTTAGATCTGAAAACAAACTATGACTTTTATCTACCGAAATATCGAACAAATCAATTTAAGAATTCTTTTCATTATTCCGGTGAACATTTATGGAACAAATTACCTTTGCATATCCTTTTTTCACCAACTGTATAAACTTTTCGTAAAAATGTAGAAAAATTCATTATAATAACATGTCGCAACTAAAAGTTATACAATTCCATGTTCTTGAATCGAACTGTATATGTCCTTATATTTTCCCGTCTTGTTGTATTATTTACTGTACACCGTTTTTATGATTGTATTATTGTGAATGTGTTTAGAGGGCCCCGAGGAAGACTAATGCATTGCACTAATGGGTTACCGTCTTTAAGGTAGTCTGATCCTAAGGTTTATAAAATTAGCAGTTAAGTAACTAAAAGTACTTATAAAAGTATCTCTGAATCCACAAAGTTATGTAAATTTATCCACAGTATTTCTTTAAAGTAAAAGATTAAAGTTAATCATATTATATAGGGAAAATTGTCAAATCTTCAATATTTTTGCAAAAAAAGCGAATTGGAATATCAGCAATAGATTTTTTTTCTATTTGCAAATTGATCAAGAAATATATTTTAGGTTAGAAAACGATAGCTATCCAGGCATTCAGAGAAATTGTCATTATTTTTGTATTGATTTGGTATTTTTAGTCTTCTCTCCGTCATGTATTCTGGAATTCTGTGTAGTTGAAAAGGCTTTTGCTATCATTGCAAAACACCACAAATCACTTCTCATTTCATATCATGCTAATAAGCATTGGTATCTAGAGTTGGATTAAGGAAAATCTTACTTCTCTAAACTGTATTATTTTTTCTCCTTTTATAGGATTACGATTTTCAACTTTCGTAATATCTTTTAAGACTTCCAAAGACCTTGAACCTTATAAAGATGAATAAAATGAAAATTGTTGCAAATTCATTTTCAAGCTTCATTTTGATGCATTTCAAATTAAATATTAATTTTTGGAGTTATCCTTCCTGGCTGAGGATCGGATATCCTTAAATAAAGTATTATTATTATTATTATTATTATTATTACAATAAGAAAATAATCAAAATGTGTTTCAAGAAAAAGTAGGAGAATGGATCATAGAATTTTATAAACAAAGAACGTAATTAAAAATAATTTCAAATCTAAGAAAAAAATTCCTTTCGACGTGTAGGATGAATATTAAAACAATAAACCATGTGACACAGATTATTTTACCTGGTGAGGGTAGAACTTTACCATAGGTTCAGAGTATTTACACAGATACAGTTTTTAAATATCTTTCAAAACCAAAAATACCCAAAATAATTATTTTTAGATGTATTGCCCAATCAGAAAAACAACATAAATAATTATAAGTCTAAGAAACAGGATATTAAAGATTTGATAATGCAGAACTTATAAAAAGGGGAAGGGGCTTTATGGTCTACTTTATATATAGTTACAGTCGCTATTATAGTTGACGTTATCTGCTTGTAAACCCGACGCACCTTCTTCATAAAAACACATCCAAAATTATAATCTTTTCACAATAAGCCAATGAATAATAGTCTTTTCTTGGACCCCAGAACAACTTTTTAGGACAATTTAAATTACATTAAATTAAAGAAAAGTCAAGTGTCCTCTCCACATGCAATTAAATTGGAATCAGTATAAATTCAACCGCAAAAAACATAAGCAAGCCTCTCTGTGACCTCTATCATTTAGTTGTCAAAAAGATAGTCGCCAGTGCAAATATTATTCGCCAGGTAAATTTTTCTAGACACCAAATGTTAAAACATATTATAGAGACATGTCCATTGCTAAGTTTTAGTACTCTATTCTGCTCTTTATTTTAAAAAAAATGAAAATGTTTCTAGTTCAGCAATTTGACGATCACCAAATCAACTTAATATGGTGTCCAATTTGGCGACTTAATTAAAATTTTAGGCGCCATAGCTACTTCGCCAGTAGAGCCCTGATATGTTAAGTCGAATTCTTCTGATTCTTCTGTAATAAAACGTCGTCCGCGTGGCGCAGTGGTTAGAACGTCTGCTCTGTATGAAGAGTCGCGAAGTCAAGAGTCAATCCTTACGTCACGGGTTCGAATCCTGATCCGGGGCGTGGAGACCGGTCCTTCGGATGACCGAAGTCCCGTGTCTCAATAGGTGCTAGCACAAAAACGATCTTTCCTGCTCAATGACCTTGAGTGCCGACATAAGACAAATTTTGCAGCTCTCCAAAGGCAAGTGGTGGCGTCTCCAAATGAGTGGAAAATTTTTGAGAGGGACGTTAAACAATATACAATCAATCAATCAAACCAATAAATCAATTAATATGTAATAAAACAGACACATACAATTAACTGCTGATCAGTTATACAGAGCATTAATCCCCATACATTTGTCTTGTGCCAAACATTCAAGTTTCAACGAGTTTCATCATTTAATCCAGTACTATTTATCAACCCAGCAAGCAACAACTATGCTAGTAACAAGTATAAATATTCAATGATGCAGACAGTGAATATTTAAACTTATCAATTTATCAACTGAAAATCAATTATACTTCTCATTTCATATCATGCTAATAAGCATTGGTATCTAAGACTGGATTAAGGAAAATCTTACTTCTCTAAACTGTATTATTTTTTCTCCTTTTATAGGGTACAAATATCAACTTTCGTAATATCTTTTCTAAGACTTCCAAAGACCTTGAACCTTATAAAGATGAATAAAATGAAAATTGTTGCATGAAAAAAATTCATTTTCAAGCTTCATTTTGATGCATTTTAAATTAAATATGAATTTTTGGAGTTATCCTTCCTGGCTGAGGATCGGATATCCTTAAATAAAGTATTATTATTATTATTATTATTATTATTATTACAATAAGAAAATA